GAGGATGTAAACTGAAAAGCTCCATCCCTTGCGACCAGCACGTGCGCTTACGAGGGGAGGTCACATGTGCGCGAAACCACGTGCGCCAACCAATCGACTTACGCATTAACTCCATTTTGCTTCGAAATTGTCTTTTCTGTGTAACTTTGGCACTCATTCATTATTAACAGTGGGAAGAGGGGGAGGAAATGACAAAGCAGACGACATTAGCATTCTTTACTGAATTAAAAGAAACGAATTTATCGCAATATGAATTTACAGCCTTAATGTATTTGGCGCCCTGGGCGAGAATATTTATTCTGTAACTCCCCCCCCCCCGAAAAAAAAAAAACGACTTAAAAGCACTGAGATTGTGATCAAACTTGTCGCAGAATCTATGTTAGCGTATAATTTACAAAATTAAACTACAGCTAGTTTTTTCTCCGCGGCTGGGTTATGTTTTATGCTTCGAAACTGACTGACTAATACAATACGCTTATTTATTAATTTTTAAAAATTAATTTTTTAACTTACCAAAAAGTAAATATAAAAACAATTTAAATTCAATTTATATTGCTAATTAAAGGTCAATATTAGATGTCGCTTTCCCACAAAATCTGATATTAAAAATGAAGAATCATTGTCATTTGCAACATCATTTTCTGTTAATAAAATCGTTAGTCCGCTCAATCTTGCTGGCAACATGGTCAACTTTTAATGAGTTTTTATCAAGTTAAGTTTAGAGAAACTAAATTTTTCACTTACTGCATTTACTGGTACAGTTAGTAACATGCGCAATACCATCCATACGTTCAGATGTTCTTCATTGTACTTTTAAACTTCTTGACTGTACTCTTTCTTTCATTGTACTCTTAAACAAAGTTTAATGCTTCTCAGATATTATATATTTTACATTCTCCTCAAAAGAAAACTTCTTAATTCAAAAGTTCTTCATGGAACAAATTTCTATCGATATCTTATTCGGGATCAACTGTTAATTTTAATTCTAAATCAATGTTATATTAATAAATTTCTCTTTTGGGGTACATTTCTTAAGCGGTGTAAGAAAATTCTATGAGGCAGTAAAATCGCTTAACTGGTTGAAACCTTTCGTTTCAAGACATTGATGTATGTATTAAATTATGCACTTCAAATACTTTTTTTTAGTCCAAAGGGGCAATTTTCCCAGGACTATTAATTTCGTTTTGGCATTTTCCGTTGATCTGCTACAAGCCTTGTTTCACTTTTCGAATTGTTGCCACCAAATATTATCGATCTGTATTATATTTTAGAATAATAATAAGTTACACTTAACAAAAATAAATTTAATTTATTAGTTACACTTAACAAAAATAAATAAATAAAACTTTTGCAGTTTGCATCTATAGATATATTAATGCAGATATATGATAACATACAGCCAGTGTACAGTCAATGTTCATACTTGATTCCACAAACATCGATTGTCCAAATGATTAGTTAACACACCTGATAAAATCTGTTTGGACAGATGTCGCAAAGTTTCTAGGAAAATTCTGAAAACGGCAAGGAGGTGTAGTGAAAGAAATTCTTCGAAATCTTCCAGATACTCTTCCCATAGTTTCAGATTACCAAGTTCATTGACCTATAAGGCTTCTTGCAATCACCTGAGCTGTATTAACTCTCCTACCTTTTACATTTCTCATTTTAGATTATTAGTCCAAAGAGGCTTTGTCCCTGAAGGACTACAGTTTTCGTTTTGAGATTTTACGTCGAATCACTCTGAATATCTGTTTCACTTTCCAAACTGTTGCCACCCATTATTATCGCCCTGTATTATATTTGAAGAAATTAACTAATGAAGAATCTGCAAAAATGTATGTATGTTTCTCGCATTGTGATAAAACAACGGTACCTAGAGCCCTCCAATTTTGAATAACGTAATCCTCCTGCGAATATGGGCATTTGGAAGCCCAACTTTGAAATTGGGAATTTGTTTTATGATCGATTTCTTATTTTGTAAAACTTTAAAGAATTTTTGATTAACAAATTCAAGGATTTCAAAGCGATCAACGGCAACGTTGTGCAGAAAAAACATTTTTATCTCCAATGCGCGACGATGTATCTGAAATTCTAAAGATATGCTCATTTTAAAATTATTTTGCGATATTGCTGTTGAACTGAATTTTATGGTTTAAGTGCGAAGAACATGATATTTAACAAATAAAGGTAACGCACAAAATGTTGAATAAAACGGACGTAATTTAAAATTTGAGATATTGCTTTTTAACTTCCTTGTATGAGATAAAGGAAGTATTGTAAATGCGAGAAATTTCAGTTATCATATTTCAACGGAAATATCCATTTCGACCGTTCTAGAATCCATTTTGACGATTTTTTGGGGTGACGTCTCTATGTACAACCAGAATAAAGGATATTTTTTCCCAAAATGGATTGTAAATTGGATTTAAAAGGGATTCAGAAAGAATTTTTTCGTGACGTATGTACGTAGATACGTACGTATGCACATATATATAGGATAAATCTAAAACGATTAGCCATAGAAGGTTGAAATTTTGCATATGGGACTACTAAAACATTTAATTGTGCACCTCCCTTTTTTATTACAATCGTCAGTACCAAACGTAGGGTCTTTTTCAGTTTGTTCTCCTTTCTTTAATTATATATATATATATATATATACCCGTTCTCTTACCCGGCTCGGCGAGCTCTGTTTTTGTATTCTTTTATGTTGGTAAACTGTGCATTTTTTGCTTTTAAAGTGATTGAATTACGCTGAATTGTTATGTTACGGTAAAGGTCTGTTTTCGTCTGTTACTTATTTAAAAATTTTCCCACTGTTCTATGTCTTAGAATTAGAAATTAAAGTTAATGACCTAAAACTGCAATAGTCTATTACAGTACATGTGAAAAATTGACAGTTTCTGTCACACGTGGGTCGGATTTGCGCAATCCTTATGGGGTCCCACAAAATTTTTGTAAAGATTATGGAGTACTGGGGGTCGCAAAAAAATCTCAGTGATAAAAAGGGGTCGCGACTGAGAAAAATTTTAGAGACAAAAGTAGTGAGCAGCCTACAAAGTATAAAATTCTGTTAAAGGAATTCAGAAATTTATTTTCTTTTTCTCTTGCTTAAATTACAACTGAAAAGTATAACCCAAATTAAGAGAAGTTGTGAAAATTGTTTTATAAAATCTTTTTCTTCTTCGCTTTATGCAAATAAAAAGTGTGTTTTTATATGTAGAGAGAAGTAAAATAAGTCCAAAGGAAAGAAAAAAAGGCTGGGAAAACTGTAATGTAAAGTTTTTTTTCCCTTGTTTTATTTTTAAAGTTTCTTCTAAATAATTACTTGAAGATGAAAGAATGAGTTAAATGCAAAGCGATGATTAAAAAGCTCCTTTCCTAAAAATTTCCTTTTTCTTTCGTGGTGTTAAAATTCTAACAATATTTGAAATTCTTAGCAGCGAGCTGCGAGAAATTCTGAAACAAATTAGATAAGTACTGAGTGTTTTATTTTAGTAACAACGTCACCCACACACTCCATCCTTTTCGTATCTGCCGAAAAACAAACGCTCCTAAACTATTATCTTTAAAGTGGACTACTTCAGATGATAAGACAAACATTCTTGGTGCCAAAGCTTTTGTACTAATTTTGCACAACAAAGAATAACCTACAGAAAAAAAAAATGTTTTAGAAGATCCAGTTAATCATCTTAAATTTTACATAATTAACATTCTGTGTGATTAAAGTTTGTATAAGTAACATTCTACAATCGCTAACCGTTGCTCATTTTAGGGAAAGACTATTTTCGTTAACACTGTCTAGTTACGTAATTTATTACATTAACTAGACTAGTTAAGGTAGATATAGTAGTGCTCTTCTATATCTACCTTAACTAGTCTAGTTAAGGTAGATATAGAAGTCTTCGCGAGTAATTGTTCAGAGATGTACTGTAGTTCCGTTAAACACCAGATTATACCGAATACTATATCGGTGTATAAAATATAGGATTCATGTAATTCGCATATGTAATTGGGCTAAGAAAATTGTGAAGTGAAAAAAAAGTAACTGCACTTCTTTCAGAGAATGAAGAAATCTTTCGGAATATTCAGATGTGGAAACCTAATGTAGTTACTATGTTATAACGAGAATTTTACTTAAAACTAAAATCAAAAAACTAATATCGCCAATTCATCTTTAAATGAATCACGATGGCAAACTCAAAAGCAGTTTTTGCTCGAGAAACTCTTTTATTTTCTCCCGTCTGCTTTAGACTGCAATGCGTATTTTTAAAAAAATTATATAGAAAACCGCTCAATTAATATCTTTCTAAATTTGCCTACGGTAGCTAGAAGCCGCCATTAAAGAATATTTTTTTCAATCATTCTTGTTTCAAAAGAGAGCGAAAAGTCAGTTTTATAATCTGTGAAAGTTTCAAAACTTTATACCCAATATATTCCTAGATTAGAAGTCAAACAACAAAAATCAGCGTTATATTTTCAAATTTTTACAGGACTAGTTTCGATAGTTTTACCGAACCCTCATCCTCAGCTGCAAAAGCGCAATTTTTGTTGTTTGACTTCTGAATTAGTATTTGTTCGGCGTGTTATTGTGTCTTATATGCCTAGTTGTTGAAATTTTAAATTCGTAAACGTCAAATACTCAAAAAAATAATCGAGCGATTTTCAAAAAGGCAGAAAAACACAAAACATGAAATGAATTTTTTAAAATTGAAATTCAAAATTTTTACTTCGAGTCTGAGTGATGGACTGTGAGTGCTCAAATTCTGGTGACTGTACGTGTCGTCGTTTTCCCAAAATGCCAGGAAAATATGTGCATGTGTACATACATACACTCATAAATACATGCTTACACTTCATTATTTAATACCGAAATTAATAACTCGTGTAATAATATTTATTAAAGTATTAGTTTTGTGAAACCATTTTTTGGCAACAAAAATAATTGTTTACGAATTCATTTAATTTTTTATGTCTAAAGGAGTTTAATGCTTACATTTTACCAATACCTTCTTTAAACTGAATTGTACTGTATTCAGATATATTGCATACAGATTCCATTAAGGTAATTAATTAAAATTTTAGTATTTATTCTGATAGATTTTTCTGTAATGAAAGCAAGCTGATAATTGTTAAAATTTCAAGCTCTTAATATGTTTTTCTATATTCACATCTCACATTTTTCTCTAGCAATTTAACCATTATGAAATTATTTGACATTTTTTGTGACGTTTTAGTCATTTAAGAATTAATCTCAAGTTATTTTTGAAATAATCGAAATTTTTTATAAAATTTGTTCCCTTCAGTTGAAAAATAATAAGGACAAGATTTTATTTCGTGACAAAGATATTCAAGAAAAAACTAAGTAAACAAACTAAACTGGTAAATTCGCGATGATACAGATTTTCGCTTTAACCTTTCTGTAGTTACTACATAGTTACTACATATTCTCGATTATTTCTTAAAACTGATTGCTGTTTCGGTTACAGCCGGATTAACAGAGGTTTAACTGTCATCTCAAAATAAAAACAAATCTTGAGGTTCAGTAAGTCACATGTAGCTTAAATTCAACTGTAACTTAAGTTACGGCAGAATGTTACTAAATATAAATTACATGTAATTAATAGAACAACAGAATTCTAGATCTTAAATCTTTTAGATTTGTAGCATAGGTAGTTTTCAAGATTATAATTGTCTGGAAAAATTTCAAGCAAAGTGATTGGTTTGGTTTATTTGATTGTGACAAGCGCAAGAGGGCTGTCTCTAGCGGGAGGGTATGCCTTCGTAGAGGACTTTCTAAGGGAAACTTGCTCGTTTATACTTTACCACATGGGGAAAACCTCGAAAACGCCCATGCAGCGAGCCCGCTCGCCGGGATTTGAACTCCGAACCCAAATACTGTTCAGCGACCACTCAGCCGCTGGTAGACAGGCATTCACATAAATGACTAATTGGTATTACACCATTCTTTTTATATCCTGCCCATCAAATATTTTCTTCTTGCTGCCTACTGGAGATAATCTACTGAGAGAGCTTTTGTGCTTGTGAAATCGGAAAGGCCATAGAAATGTCAAATTAACAACAACTGGTTAATTACTTTATAAGGTATTTTCTCCTTTTTTCCAGCTTGCCTTCGTGGTGTAACGGCAGTACACTCGACTTGGATTATAGAGGTCCAAGTTCGAGTTCCGGCGAGGGCACTGCTCATTTTTCACATCTCGTTCTGCAAAATAACCTAATGCCTCTACCGTGGCGCCCGAACTAAAAAGTGGTGAAGAATAATTCGTCACCCCAGGATTGGTAATTGGGTCTCCTATTCCCCAGTCGTCCTTCCCGGCTAAGATTTTGCTTATTTTCCACATCTCCTGCTTCAAAACAACCTAACGACTCTACGACTTAAAATAGGCTGCATAACATCATTTAATTTTACAATGCAGCTCTTCTCAGTCTCGGAGGTTTGTGAAACTTCTACACATACTATTAATAAGGAATTATCACATTCCCCTGCGCCTCCATTCTCGCGATGTTAGAGGCAGCTAGCAATCGAATGATCCGTAGTTCAAGTTCCGAAGAGGGTATAATTGATTTCGCTTGCTTCCCGTTTCCACTAAGTCCTGTAGCCTATGCAGTGGCTTCCAAATTAAAAATCGGATGGGTGAAGAATCGTTAACATATGGATTTGGTGACTGGGTGTAGTGTCTCTTCCAACGTTTCCTGTAAGTCAGAAGAATGTAAAGAACTGAACGTACTCCTCTGTGTGTGCTGTTCTGGTGTAAGTGATACAACGAGTAACCAGCAACTGGAGGACTGTGTTTTTTTCCCAAGATGGCTCAGATTATTTCTCACGTTAACTAGCTTCGGAAAAAAAACCCTCTGTTTCCAAATACTGTGCTCAGTTTCGGTGCTTGGGGATTCATCCTCACAAATAGAAAGTTTTGAACATATTGTATGAAATTTAAGAGTAGTTAAATGAGAATTTTCTTTCATTAGCTTTACCTTTCATGCACTAGATTCTTGAAACCACCATGGAAGAGGAAAGTTCGCAGTCAGTTATTTCGGCAAACGACAGCAATGTAGGGGAGTCATCCTCAGAAACCAAAGGAAAGGTTGTATCCCGATTACAACTGAGAGAAATCTTAAAGCGCGGCATTGAGGCCCAAGAACGGCTCGCCTCGAGGAGGAGAGAGAAGTTGTACATACTGTTAGTGCCCGGTGTAATTCGTCTTATAGAAATCGTAAGTAACTCATTGCTATCGACGAACTTCTAGCTTCTCACTGTCTTAAAGCATTCTCCATCTAGGATAGATCTCAGAATGTAGCCAACTGCTATTTTGCAAAACGTTTATCTTCATTTTTATCAACTGCAACTGCTTAATAAAGTTAGCAGTTTAAAAGGGCGTGCCTCTTAATAATTTTTACTTATATTTTAATTTAATAACTTAGCTAACTGATGTATTTTATAACGCATTTAATTGATAATATGTGCAATTGATAATTTTTGAGAACATTTGCAACTTAGTTGTGATTAATAAAATATCATTCTATTATTACGTAGTTCGATACATTAAACTGGATTCGAACTATTTGCTTGTCTCATAAAACCTCTTTTACAAACCATGCTCGTTTTATACAGGCTGCTAAGCTTCAGATATATACAGGGCATCAAATTTAAAAGTAGGCAACGTATTTAATTAATCAGATTCAAATCGTATGCATTTTTGGCAATGTTGTTCTCCGTTTTTTACAATGTTCTGCCATATAAGAAGTTTACAATCCTGTTTGTTGCGAGAGGGCCTCTTTAGAAGCAAAAAAGAGATTTGATAAAGTTTTCGTAAAATTTTCTTGAATGGGCTGAAAACTGTCTTTTTGTGTGTCTTATCTTTGACTGTTTCTTTGTAAGAATTTCATTCGAGGTGACATTTCCACTTTGAATCAAATGTTTTCTGCATATGAGGCATGGTTTCATCGAAGTGGATATGTGTTTGAACAAAATTACCGAACTCAGACTTCTAAAAATCTGCACCTTCTTGCGAAAATTAATGTCTGATATGCCAAATCAAGGCGATATATTATCCGGTTTATGTTCTTTGGAACAGTCGTGGGCTTTAAGACCTACCAAGATGCTCCCTGGAAGTTCATTGCCTTACTGCAGAAGAATGAGCATCACTCCTGGATATGCGAAGTTGGTGAGAAATGTCATATAGAAAATTCCACCACGAAAACAGTGAAAGAGATTTTGGAGAGAGAATTCTATCTAAAGACTACAACCAATGAAGTCTCCAACGCTTGCCAGTCGAGACTACTTACGCTTAATGTAACGGGTTGCTTAAAACAACATGTGCTTTTAAAGAATACACACACCTTGTAAGAGCTAAAAGTGAGCATTTCTACTGCCATTCACAAGATAACAGTAGATAATAACAGATAGTTCTGCCTGTGCTGGATCGCCTTCAGATCTTCATCCAACATTGAAAGTACTAGATATGCAAAATCTTAAGGAAGTTGTAAGACCTCTGAATGCATCTTGCAAACTGTAATTACTAGTAGTGAAAAGCAGGTCAATGGGAACAATTTAGAAATCAAACATAGATTCCTCACAGTCGAAAACTCATCTTCCGTAAGGAAAGGAAAAGTGAGAATCAGTGTGAAATAGGTGTGTATTCTGCTTTCCTGGCCCAAAAGTTTTTGTAAATCTACTCCACAAATATAAACAATCAATGCAAATTAGATAAATTTTGTTAGCCAACAGGTATACTATAAAGGCTTCAAACTCTGGTTTGCGGGCAGTTGACTTCGCCAATTCTTTAATATAATACCGTATATAGTCGCATATAAGTCGACTCCCCCACTTCGACATAAAAAATTCGTAGTAAATAAGAAACCCGCGTATAAGTCGACCCCCCACTTCCGAAATCGATCGAGAAACTTCGAAAAAATTTTTTTAAGTACTATATTTATTCAAAATCATCTGAGGAAAAAAAAGTAAATATATGATAAAAAATACCTTGGTAAATAAACAAAATCAAAATCCTTCAACGTCTGATTCATAGGTCAGATTCGTCAAACATTTCATAGAACTCTTTTGTCGTCATTGGCTCGTCATCATACATATTTTCAGTCTCGAACTCTGGATTGTTACAATCACTACTAGAGCCTTCGTCATCATTTTCCCTTTCAAAAGCAGCATTATCATTCTGTGCCGTCTAGTTCGTTGCTAATACAACATTTTTTAAATGATTTTAAATCATTTCAGAGGATATTTCATTTCAAGCATCCTTTAACCCACTGAGCAATTAATGTAATATTCAGGCTTTTTAATATTGCCTGCCCTTTGTAAATGTTGGTCGACCGGAACTAATCCACTCTGCCCAATATTTTTAAACATTTACTTTGAAGGGCTTATTGAGGCAGACATCTAGGGTTGAATGACGGATGTTAATCCTACCGGAATTACGGCCACAGTCGTTTTTAGGTGTTTTGTCACTTCTTCAGAAAAGTGTCCACGCATACTAAAAGCGAAGGTTTTTTGAAAGCTGCTCCCGGTCTTTTATCCCACACATTTTTAAGCCAATCGACTGTTCCGTCAGCATCCATCCATCCCTTTTCATGGGTGCAAACCAGCACACCTGATGGAAACACAACGTTTTTCGGTACAGTTTTTCTTTTAAAAATGATCAAAGGACGATCTTTAAAAATGACTATCTGCATTTCTCTTTTCTTGGCGTGTTGGCGAAACTTTTTTATTGCTCGATATTGATCGGTTGTTCGGGGGCCGAAAATGTTTTGGTTTAATTGAAACTTGCTCTAGTTAAAGTATGAAACTCTGTGATTAGTTCGTCACATAATTTAAGTCAAGAAATTACTTCAAGTAAGTGACTTGTTTGATAAGTCATCCAATTTGAATGTGGGAAGAAAACAACTGCATTATATAAAGAAATTTTTTAACTTCCGTATCTTTTAATTTTTTATGACCCGCGTATAAGTCGACCCCCCCACACTTTGAAGTCTTTTTTTTTTTTTTTTTTTTTTTTTTTGTCCAAAATATCTCGACTTATATACGATAAATGCCAAACTGCCGTAGGTAAGCTTTTGCATCACATCTTAAGTTCAAGATTCAATAATTTTAGATGATTAAGAATTTAATTATCTATCAATACAATACTGCAATTCACTCTGGTTCGAAACTACATGGTTGCCATTCGTGTCATATGTGAATTTTCCGTTTACTTAGAACAAAAAAAGATACAATCCAATAAGCAGAAAGTTCGTTGAGTTAGAAAGGACCAAAGAAGAGATGAAGACTGTCAAGATAAAATAATTAGTTAAAGAAAGGAAATGAGGGAGAACTTTTAACAGTTGGCATTCTGAAAGTTAAAAAATTGCTATGTATTTGCATCAGTTTTTAAGTTAATATCTGCCATCTAAGTCTATCTAGGTCTAAGTCATATATCTAGCTCTTAAGATCTTGAATTAATGTACAGCAAAAAGTAAATTTGGAAACTTTGCGATATCACCACGTACACTTTGCACAATAAAAAAAGAAACAGTTCTATATCTCCTGTTCTACTGAAAAGAGTGTCGAAATTTAACTTGCTTTTTCCATTTCTCGAAAGCTCGAAGTAGAATATATATAGTATTTATATATAGCATTGTTTTAACATAGGTATTTTGACACAAAATCGGTCTTGTTCCGAAATAATATAACAATTTTTTTCCATATTTCAATTCTACGACTCAAATTATGCCTAGAACATTAAATTTTGTAAAATTTGGTGCCAAATTTACGGAGAAATTAAAAAAATTTATCCTTGGCGCATTTTTTTCAGTTTACGCCATGAATAATTCACTCGGCGAACTTCTTAATTTAATAGGCAACATATTTTCCTTTCCTTTCTTTTCTTTTTTTTTTCATTTTTTTTTCATGTACACGAGCGGGAAAAAAGTGTCATTCGTTTCATACTTTCAAATAATTTTTAACAAAATGCGTAAACACATTTTCGTTATTATTGCTTATAACAAACATCCCAAATTTCAAAACGCGCCATTTTAATAATTCACACATATCTTAGCAAATTTTGAATAAAAACTGCAAATTTTGGTAGTTAGGCTTAGAAATACATCTACTTTAAGATGATAGTAAAAATTTTATAGGTTAAATTTCAAAATTATTTTCGAAAAATTTATAAAAATTATTTTAAAATACAAATTTTAAAAATAAATCGTAAAAAATGGTTGAATTTTATTTGGAATGAACCTGATGTGAAAGGAAGAATCAAAAAAGTTTAATAAAAAAATGACATATTAATAAATATATACCAAATTCAATTAACACGGAAGAGCTAAAATTTGAGAGCTAATTTTTTAAAAACGACGCGTGCGATTTTTGCAAAACTTAGTTTGGCGTAATTTGAGTCGTAGAATCGAAATATGGAAAAAAATGGCATGTTATCTTAGAAAAAGTCCGATTTTGTGCCAAAATCGCTATCTTAGTACAACGCTATAGTATATAAATCTAATTTATATCTTAAGTCGTGCTTTCGATACATGGAAAACTAAAGTTAAATTTCGACAATTGGTCCAATAGAACAGGAGATAGCGAACTGTCCCCCCCCTTTTTTTTTTCGTGTGTGTGTGTGTGCAAGGTGTGTCTGTTGTAATTTAGAGAAGCATACAAAGTAGATGCTGTAATAGGAAAATGAAAATTATTGCCTTGAGTGCACTGTTTATTAGTAAACACAATGCTTGAGAATAAATCAGTTGAGTATGAGTATGTTATATGAATTGTTTCCCATAATTGGATCTGAAAGTGTAATATATAATTTTTGTTAATTTGTTTAATTCTATGATAATGCTGATATTCAGGAAATGAAGTGGATCAATTCGATCTGACATGCAATATCATGTCTGATATGATCAGTCATAAAAACATCATATCAGACGAAATCTGCAAACATTTTCACCTTTCGTTTACTCTTAAATATCATAATCCTTCCTTTACCCAGCTATCTGGTAGTTTTCTAAAGCTTTTCATGCAAATTTTATTTTAATTTCAATATACACAATGTTTTTAAGCAGTGGCGATAGGGGTTGCCTATCATGTCTCATTACAAGGCTTAAAAATATTACTATTTGACAAGAAACTTACTAACTGAAAGTTAGTAACTTATTCTAATACCAAATCAGAAGGCAAATAACAAAAATCAGCGTTTTATTTTCAAATTTTCACAGGACTAGTTTCGATGGTTTTACCGAACCACCATCGTTAGCTGCAAAAGGGCAAATGAACGAGATAGGATATAATGATCAGATAAGAAAGCCTGGACAGAAAATAAGCTAGTGGCGCCATCTGTTGGTGAAACCAGAACTAAAACATAATTCCTTTAAAGGCCGAAGGCAAAGATGGATTGGAATTAGGATCTTAACTAGAACAGAAAGAGTTGAGTGTAAAATGCCTCTAGAAAATCCAGTTCTCCAATGGAAGATGGTTTTTGAATAATTTTGGCTGCAGAAAAAATGAAAGTCTGATTTTCGAACCAACAGTGCTGGGCAACAGAAGACTTCTGTGTTTCCTTTTTTCTAGCATATGCCTCATGTTCGTTGACGCGAAATTTTAAGGCTCTCTTAGTTTCGCCAATGTAAATTAAACCACACTGGCAAGGAATCCTATAAATACCCCAGGAATTCATATCCGGAATGGGGTCCTTGAGTATGGAACTCGGAATTTTATTGATGGGAGAATAAACGACCCGAAAATTCATTTGTGCTTTTGCAGCTGACGATGGTGGTTCGGTAAAACCATCGAAACTAGTCCTGTGAAAATTTGAAAATATAACGCTGATTTTTTTTTGTTTGCCTTCTGGATTAGTATTTGTTAGGCCTGTTATTGTGTCTTAATTAGTAACTTATTGTTACTATTATTATTATATTACGACTATTATTACTATTATTATTATTACTACTATTATTACTATTATTATTATTATTATTATATTATTATTATTATATTATATTATATTATTATTATTACTGTTACTGTTATTATTGTTGTTAGTCCAAAGGGATTTGAGTCCCGAAGGACTATTACTTTCGTTTTGGCATTTTGCGTCGGACTCCTATAAATGTCGGTTCACTTTTCAAAAACTGTTGCCACAAAATCTTAGAATCCTGCATTATATTTAAAGAAAAATCTGCATAAATGTATGTATATTTCTCGCATTGTGATACAACAACGGTATCTAGAGCCATCCAGTTTTGAATGAGGTAATCCTACCAATGCAACATATGGGCATTGTGGAAGATTCCAAATTTTAAATTTGGAATTTGTTTTATGATCGATTTCATATTTTGTAAAATTTTAACGAATTTTTTAGTTAACGAAACTCAGACGGATTTGAAAGCGAGCGAATGGCCAACACTGTACGGGGGGGGGACCTTTTATCTCCAGCGCGTCGAACTCTGTATCGGAAATTCTAAAGATATGTTAATTTTAAAATTATTTTGCGACATTGCTATTGAACTGAATTCTATGGTTCAAGTGCAAAGAACATGATATTCAATAAATAAAGGTAACACACAAAATGTTAAAAAAAAGGCTCTTTGGACGTAATTTAAAATCTGAAAAAAAACATTTCAGAATTTTTGTTGTTGTTGTTGTTATTATTATTATATTTCCAGTTCCTTTCTATGGTTAATGTCGCTGCGTATGGCTTCCTTTACACGTACTACGAAGTGAAAGGCACTGAAGCTGTACCTCCATACTTCATGGCTACAAGTAGAGAAACGTATTTCTTAATGGTTAATTATCACTCTTTAATAGCAACTGTGAGTTTGATATGTGCTGCTACCATAAGTCCCACAAACAATGCAGCACTCTTGGGGAGCCTATTTGTAAGTAACTTTTTTTTTTTTTTCTTTTTTTAAATTTCTGTCTTTCCCCAACTTATTGAAATTTCATGCACTAGTTTGTAGAATCCAGGTGGGTTATCTTCTATCTGTATACTGGAGTAGCAGGAAACTACACAGAAGAAGGGTTCAAACCCTTTATTAACTCTTTAAAATTGACAATGAGTCAACTCGACGCTAACAAACTTCGCCTCTGCTTGGGTGGTAACTGAAAGTCAGATAATTGAAATTAAAAGTTGAAATGCTTAACAAGTGATAAACTAGCCTACAGGGCTCAGCGAGATCCCGAACTTCATCAACCCCCTTCTAAGTGGCAGCAAAGCAATGCAATTAAGCCACTTGAACCAGCAATGAGCAAACGTACCTACGGCAGAGACGGGCAGCTACAGCCTAACTCTCTCTTTTACCTACCGAAACTCGGCTTTTAACTACTTCCTTCAACGTAGAAAATTTGCTTGCGTTCACGCCCGATACAACATTTAACTATTCTGACAATTAGGGGATTGAAGGCTTATAGGAAAGTTTCAAATAAAACTTTAAATTATTAGTTAAAATAAATATAAATCCCTACAAGGTCATTAAATAGTTAAACGTCATTATTTAATTAATTGAATGATGTTTAATTAATTAATCAATTCAGTAATTAATTAAATGTAGTTCGATTCATTAAATAATGGCGTTTAATTTGCTAAGCGTCATTATTTAATTAATTGAATGATATTTAATTCTTTAATTAATTAAATGTGATTATTTAATTAAATTCTTAATTAATATACAAAATTTTAATTAACAATTTAATAAAGATCGAAAATATAATATTATGGATTGATACGCCAACAGTATGGTGTTTCATTAATGTAAGTTCCAAAGGATATAAGTTTAAAAAGTTTTTAATTTTTTTTTTTAACTGAGGGCGGGGGAGGTTTAAAAACAAAGAAATTATTATGTATGTTCGATAAAAATGGGATTTATATTCAGTGAAACCTCCTTTATCCGAACTAATCAGAGCGCAGTCATAAATGTTTTTACCTGATAATCCGCAGTGACCACTTTCGGCAGTCAAAGGGATGCTAATAAGAGTTAAGTATAATAGCTAGCTTCCGATTCACGGAGGTTGGATTAACCGGACCCTGTCTAAAAAAAATATTAATTTATTGAAATTTATTGAGAAAGCAGGAAAAAAACACTGTCACGAAACCATCAGTGTAAAACTAAGCCTCCCACAGAAAATACGGAAAAGAAAAGAAAAATCTGGGGTAACGGCTATGATAGCAGATAATGTCACAGTGTCTGGGAATCCTATTTATCCGCAACAGTACGTAATTTAATCGTACTTAAGTATTGTATTGCAGCAGTGTACTATAAAGTATTATATTGAAGTTGTGTTGATGTAAGAGTATTACTATTGATGAAGAACATATGAATATTGTAGAATAATAAATTAAAAGTTGTAAATTACTTTTTACTCGATTTTGAACTCGGGTTATGGTTCTTTAATGCCATTTACAATTTAATTTATTCATTTCCTAATGATGTTGTTCCGTTATTTTTGGCGTCCCCAATACCAATTTAATTTAGGTAACCAATTGAAGTTATTTCCCAGATTAAACTGACTGAAAATACAAGCAAATTGTCAACAATAATTTTCTGTTAATTATAATATGGGGTATTCCTCTTCCGCATGTTTCTTTTTAACTGCGATTGGTTTAAACGTGATTTCGAGTTAAATATGGACGTCGTTCCCAGTGTTACTTCAATTCCTCGGAAGTTAAATGTGGATTATATTTACACATCTACACTACAAAGCAATCAGATATCTTTCATTTAAAACGATGAAAAAGCATTCAGTAACAACTACGTAGCTGCATCATTTTATGAGTAGCATATCAACTGATGAAGATTCGTATCTGCAACAAAATATGACTGCAAATTGGAAAAGTAATTTTTTTATTGTTGCATTATTTTAGCCTATTACGTTTTTACGTAAAATGTTAGGTTATTTTTCATTTTTAAATGATTTTTATTATTGCTTTTATTAAAATATTTGCTAAAAAATGTACTCTTTAGTATACTCCAAAATCATAACTTTAAACCTTAAACTACCCTTCAAGCATCCTTTTCACATGTACTCTGCTAAAGATGTATATGCGGTGGATATTTATAACTGCCACTTCCTTATGTTTAGTAACGAACTTGTCGACTTGATGTCTTATGTTGTCAACAGCATTAGTAGTTCTAACGGGAAAATATAACTCACACGTGGATATGAAAGCGTTTATATATATTGAGCCCAGCATTACATCAAAGTAAAATGTATCTGTAATATGAAGTAGTGAAAATTTTCATGCAGTGAAAAATCTGTAGTGTTAGAGTAGATCTTTCTCACTAAATTATTAGTATAAATTTCCTGCCGTCAAATTTGTTGAATTATCTTTCGACCTCTCAGATTGCTATCTTTTATTAGTGATTAAATAAAAAAGGAACTAATTCCTTAGACATTTTAAAAAATTATGAAAATGAACCAGTTGTCACATGAGAATGCGATCTGAATAAAAATTCCTGTCATGAATTTGGACCTTTTTTCCGAAGGGAGGAAGCAATAAAAAATTTTAATTCCTGATTTCGCCGATAGGCGCAATGCATTGTCACTGAACTTCCCTCCTTTATGCCTTACAAATCTTTCATTACACAGCGTTTACTTTCAATATAACCCCCCAGCACTAGAGCGAAAAAGCTTTTGTTTTGGCTGATCGTTGTTCGTAGTGGCAGATCGTCGTTGGCGAGTCCCGTGCAAACCGTGTGACAGCACTTATGGGAACTCTCTTAACATAATCAACAAATGGTGTCAGCAATGCTCCAGAAATTTCAAGAATAATCTACCAACGATTCTAGCCCTTGTTTACCTCAAATTCATCTATGCTGCAGATTTTGCATGATGTGTTGCATTTATATCCGTTATAAGCTACAACCAAGTGTACCCATAAGCTGGAGGCATTATGAACACTTTAAAAGTCTATGATGAACTTCAATGAATTTTAAGCATCTTCTGTCCAGATAAAGCATACTCTCCATGACCCAAAAGTGTTAATCCCCACAACTATCCAATATGGGGAAAGAACATTTGACAAGAGTGCACAGACAACCTTTCGAGTCCATGTGATACTGTCTCAAGACATTCGACATCCATTGGCTTATTCTTTTTTTACCATTCATATGCTACTAATGTCTGAGAAATTTGCCCTGCAACAACACAGCGCTACACAGAAATGCTACCCGAAAATCATACTGTCATGTTTGAAAGAACAAGATCTAATTAGGGCCCACTCATGTAGCAGTCCTTGTGATGCAGTTTCTTGTGAAAAGTTTCCTCCTAAGCTAATTATTAAGAATATCTTACTGTCTGACCTCCTCGACCGACGGACTTGATGTCCTTTTGATGGACTTTTCTAATTGTGAGGTTATCTGAAGCCTTGGTATAAAACAATCGCCAACTATTCTTAAGCATAACTTAAAGATGTTATTCATCGCCAAATCTCTTCCACAAGTCCGGATATGCTCAACGCATCGGTAATCGTGTGATCACACGCTTGAAAAATGTCATTTCTTGTGGTGAGGCACTACTCGTTAGTGAGAAACCTTGTGCAATGAAACAAACCTCATACGACAGCGGGTTCACGTTTTGTGAATTTTTAAAACTTCTAGTGACTTTTGGCGCGCTGTGTAAATAGAATATTTAAATGTGTAACCATTTCCATTCATGCTTTTGATCTTTTACAGCTATTCATTTTTGACATCATCCAGTTCATCTTTGTAACTTTGTCTGCCATCACTGTCATCTTGTTATACGAAGATCCGATATTTAAAACTACCTTTAAAGATGGATTAGCCATGAAGAAATTTCTAGGGGTGAGTTGTAAAATAATGAGGAAAAAAAGAATTACGTTGAAATTTTTCATTTGTTTTCCTGAAAATGGTCTTCGTATTACGTTTATGTTGTAAATTCTTAGTACGCCTACACAGAACATTTATCAAGTTTTGAAACTAATTTTTTTTCAAGCAATCTGCCAGTTATAATTTGGTTGTCTACCAAACTACAATTGGTGTAAATGCTTACCGGTTAGACTAGACTAGAAGAGAAATGCCCCGGTTGCTTACCGGTTGCTTTCTCTAAGATGTTGTCTACTCAGGGAAAAAAAGAACCCTTAAATCAAAGTTTTATAAGATTTCATTTTCTACACTTGAAATCTACTGTATTTCACAGACTTGATAAAAAAAATCTACGATCAGTTCAATTGAAATCGTTAGTAGTAATTACGATTTGCAAATAGTAATCTGAGGGAAGAATTCGTGTTTTGTTTATGATTAATTAAAGAAATAATAATCGTCTCCAGGGGTAAGCAAAATTTCGCTCTCACCGACAAGAACATCGGTTTCAAATGAGAGCAAGTACTTGCAAAATAACACGTTGTGAATCCCGTGTCGGTAATTATCACAGGGCACAAAAATTTATTTTATGATTAAAATATTGAGTAAAATCTGAAGCAGTCAACCGATCGCCATTAGTCAGGAATGGTTTTGGGCTGCCGTAGAAACTTTCTACTGTTTTGCATAAAATCTGAATTCAGAATTCCATTTTACAAACTCAAACCATAAAAATAATTTGTAATTTTAGTTATACCGATTATGTTCCTAACTTAAGCCTAATAAAAAATTAGCTTTAGGTCATTCTTATGAAAGCAAAATATATAGATGCTATAGCCCAAAATAAAAGTAATTATTAATCATTATAATTCTTAGTATGGCTTTGTACTTTTTATATTTAACGTATTTATTTGAAAAGAAGACCGCCTCGAATATAAGACTCTTGTTGTAACTTTAGAATAAATTTTAAGAAATCAAATTATCAGTAAAAATGAGTGCATGGTTCTCAATAGAATTCATTTAAGTCTGATTAGAATGATGCGTTATCTACCTCATTAAGTACAATATGTTACTGTGGTACAGAAATAAAAATTAAGAGAATTTAGTGTGGATATTGTTATTACTAATTTGTTTTTAGTGACCAGTATAGTAAATGAAGATGATATCGTCCAGCTAGGCACGACTATCAAAAATCGCGATAGTTATGTAGTTTAAATATATACGAAAATTACCTTCTAGAGTCTAACTAGTCTAGTCTTCTAGTAAACTACTCTTCAAAGTAGGAAACAAGAAAAATCAACTGTGTCCTCGAGGGATTCAAACCACGTATTTTCCGATTACTAGTCGAACATGCTACAACTGTACCTACATATGCTATAAACTAACTCAATGGTATACCACTTCGTGGTAGTTTTAATGGTATACCACTGTCTGTAGTACCACTGTCTTAATGTAGACTGTAGTACCACTGTCTTAATGGTATATCACGAAATGTTATACCATTAAGACATTCAGAGAAAAAGATGAAAATCCGTTATACTTTCCCCTACTGAAAGGCTGACTGGGGAGAGAGAACACCCAATCGCCACATCTAGATGGTGACCAGTTATCGACCACTACATTTCTTTTAATTGGACGCCGTTTGTAAAGCTCTTAGAAATTTTAAGGAGCCATAAAATATTGGAAATAATCTATGCTTTGTTTGACGATTAAAATCTTTCCTTTCATGCTGCAAACTGAGCTAAATCGCACCGCCACCTGAATGGTGCTCAAGGCTGTTGCCAATAGCGTTCCTTGCCACAAGGATTTTTGTGGGCTTGGGTTGACTACGTCAGACAAGTGAGCGGAAGCAACAACAACTACTATCATTTATTAAAATTCCCGTTTATAAGACCCTGCCAAATTTTAGAACTCAAATATAAGAAACAATGAAGGTTTCATTTTCAAGCAAGTTCGGTATTTTATTTTTACTTAAAAATAAATAAATAAAATAAATGCAAGCCGAAATAAAAGAAATATCAGTCTGCTTCTGCAGACTTTACTTTCGTAAAATATAAAGTTAAGCAGTTCAAACTTATACAGTTTTGTTTTGAGATTACATTTCTGCTAATAGAATCTACAATACAGTAATACCCATACCCTCAGAAGACGAGAAGAAGAGATAGAACTAAATCTTTAAGGGCTATATTCTGTGAATAATAAATGAAAGTTTTATCGAGTAACTTTTCAGCAAAATAAATTGATCAGATGGCCAGGAGAGCGTAATGGCAGGCCACACATTCAGTTGATCAATGTTAAACGAATTTTGCGTACTGCGCATGCTCAGAAGAGAATTTGGGGCTATTATGAACTCAGCCTTCATTACTGTACAGGTTTAGAAACTGCGGTATCTTAAGAGAACGTATGAGCAGTTTTACGGCTGAACAACGTCATTTCTAAAAGGCACAATTTTAAAAGAAGATAAATGCGGTGTATGGTTGATATTCTGTTATCTGAGCGTAAAACAGTTCAGGGTTTTAAAACATGTTACTCAGTAAGTAAGTTGCTTCATTAATTAAGGTGTAAATATCGATTGTAAACTACGCAAATTTTCGTTTAAGAAAGATTACAAAACAGGAAACATTACAAGATATATTTAGCTGAATGTATATTGATTATATTTCTGAGGGAAAAAAGTAACCGATTTACTATACGTTCCATTTGTTCTACTTTCACAAATTAAGGAATAAATCCAGTTTAAATTACTGAAAAAAAGTCAAAGAAATTATTATCATGGTTATGAGCAAAATAAACCACAATGAAATGAAAAAGAAGCAACAATTAAGCACAAACAAATTTCCGTAGTACTACAATGAGATACATTCCTCTGACTTCATAGATCACGTGACTTATGTATACCTTTTGTAAACAGACAATGCAGATGACCTCAGAGATCACGTGACTTATGTACAGCTAATGCAAACAAGCAATGTCATTCTTCCTCCTCTTCTCTTCCGGAATGTATCTCATTGTAAACAGTCGATAAGACCTACATGACGAACAGGCTTGTGTAGGGTTGCTTATGTTTAGTCGCCAGTATTTTCTTCCAAGCCAACGGTACAACACTGAGCATGCGCAGTAAGCGAAATTCGTTAACATTGATCAACTCAATGTGCGGTTTGCCATTACGCGTCCGGAGATATTCACAGGCCTGTTGACATTCAAATTTTTTCTTCTGAAAGACTCCTTGAAATTTTAGACATCATCAAGATAATTTGGACATCATCAAGGTAATTTGGAAACCTCGCATAAAAATAATATGCTTGATCAATAAATTATTAACGTAAAATTAAAAATCTATATATCATTCTATCCTCATAACTCCATCACATGTCTAGTTGAGGTGAAATTTTGCTTAGTAGCTCCTTATGTCTGAATGGAAAACATGAGCTACATAATTTGCGGTTATATTAATTAATTAAACAGAATTTAAATTGCATGTTCCTTTGTGAGTTTAAATCTGAATACCAAAGTACTTAAAACTTCACAGAAATTTTATAAAAAGCTCCACAGAAATCGTAGTGCGATGTTCACAGGTAACACAAGCTGTAGCCGCATGAGGAGATATTCTCACAGTACAAAGAAATCTTATTTTTAAAACTTTTTGCTAATTTCATTGCACACTTTGACAAAAATGAGAAGTTTAAAATATTTTCCAAGACTGTGCTAGACATTCGCAAGATATTTTTTGATTCTGTTTGCAACTGTGGAAAAAATATACAGGATTCTAGAAACTTTTAGCGGAATTAAGGTGATGAGGCGATCATAAAATTTATGCGCAATTTGATGATAACGAATGTTATTATCATTCATTACTCATCAAATTACATCAATCTTTTTTGGGGGGCCACCAGCGGCCGAGGGGTAACGTCGCTGAACACTGATAGATAGTTCGGTCTGGGATTCGAATTCTGCCGAACGGATTGACTGCATGGCGTTTTCGTAGTTTATAAGGTATTTCTCCCCGCCTTCTTAGAGGAGCCTTCGTGGTGTAGTGGTCTGCACGCTCAGCGCGCAATTGAGAGGTCTGTGGTTCGATTCCCGGCGAGGGCGTTGCTCATTGTCTCCTGCATTCAAAAAATACCTAATGTCTCTATAGTGGCGCCCGAATTAAAAGGGTGTTGGATGATGATTCTTCTCACGCAGGATTTGACGATTGGGTCCCCTAAAAGCCCCATGGGCCCTTTAAAAGGGGGAGCATATAAGGTATTTCTCCCGCCTTCTTGGCGTGCCTTCATGGTGTGGTGATCTGCACGCTCAACGCGTAATTGAGAGGCCCGCGATTCGACTTTCGGCGAAGGCGTTGCTAATTTTTCATCTTTCCTGTTTACAAAAAGTACCTAATGTCTGTATCTCTGCTTACAAAAAATACCTAATGTCTCTTCCCCTAAAAAGATAGCCCTCGAGTACTTTATCAACCAAACAAGCTGTTTTGGTCAACACCTATAAAAGCATGATGCAATTCTGAAAATGTACAGGACGATTCAGCTCACTTTTTTCCATATTCAGAGGAGGAATAGCCCCCCACAAAAACAAATCGGAATTATAGAGCAATACAAGATGTGAAATGTAATCTTCGTGCGGTAAATGACGTTGTTCAGCCGTAAAACTGCTCATACGTTCTCTTAAGATACCGCAGTTTCTAAACCTGCTCAGTAATGAAGGCTGAGTTCGTGAGCGTGGAAATGGCCAATGTAAAGTTCACAGCAGCGGCCTCGCGTACGAAGCAGCTGCCTACGAAGAACCAGTCTTTTGTGTGACAATACCAGAGAAAGTAGCTGACGAGAGGAGTATCAGACCACCAAATGTTTGCACGGTTGTAGAGGTTATATTACACTGGTTTTATTTAGCGGTTTGTCAGGAGTCGGGAACGATGGGCACACACTCTAGAAGAGAATGTGTCAGGGGTATATTACACTCCGAACACGTGAGGTTGGCCTTTCCAACCCTCCTTCGCTGCAAGATACCTACTTATGCTTGTGTAATATGTCCTTCTCAAAAGTTTGTACTCGCTAAGCTAAATAACCCTCTGTATTTTCCCATCGAATGTCATAGTAAAGTATCGCAAAATATACATACATAAACATTTATGCATTTTTTCCTCTTTTCGAAGAATCACCTCATCATTTTTTGAACGCGGTTTTGCCGTGCGCGCAAACCCTTTGTTCAGCAAGGATTTACTGTACGTATGCCCGGGGCTGGTAGACTCAACGCGAGACACGTCCTCGAGTTGGGACATGGTTAGCGCTTTCATCTGGTATTAGTTTTACGATTTTCGTAGGCTCAGTTCTCGTTTGGGATGGCTCTTTTTCGAATCCAGACGACGCTAATTCCTCAGAACTTTCTAACGATGAATCTTCTAATTCGAGAAGAATTCGAAATTTTCGAGTTCGCGATGAATCCTCCAATCAGCTCAGCAGCAATACAGAAAATTAAAATCACAATCGAATAGAGAAGAAGATGTTTTGCCAAATGTGTCAGCAGATGGCAGCATTTGCTTCATCAATTTTCGTCACATAATATATCATTTAAATTTATCGCCTTAGATTTGAACCAACTGGAGAAGCTCCATCTTTGAGCTTCTACATACGCCAGGACCCTAAGGGAAACTCATTTAGGAATCTGAAAAGAGCAGGAGCAGTGCATCTCCCGCTGCATGCCAGAATAGCCAACAAAGTATCAAAGTATCATAGAATTCCATGATTTGGGATGAAAAATTTAAGGGCTAAACGCCAAGAGAAGATCCAGCGCACGTTCTCCCCGGATAATAACAATGTTCGCGTAAATTTTATGAGTTTTTAATTTATTTAAAATATGACTATACAAATTATCGAATACATAATAATAATAGAAATAATATTAAGTAATGATACCAACGAATTGGATTTTTCAAATTTAAAATTCTTGCGATTCTTGCGAAATACAGTGCGATTATTTTGCTGCTCTTCTCGGCCATACATTGAACGGCCGATAGGTTTTGTAGAATTATTTAACTTTTCACTGCCTGAACAATTTTCTTCTTTCATTTTTAATACACAAAAATTAACTTCAGCAGTCTCTTATAAAATAAATATAGCTCTTATGCTAGATTTTAAAAAGCTTTATTTACTTCATAACTTCATGTTCCATTGCAGAATAAAAATTTATGAGCCCCATTTTAATAAATCAAAATTTTTTTTCTTATATTTTGACAAAAAGGGGCTTCTCGAAATGGGATGTTGCGTTAGACAGCTAATGGCTGATCACTTTTCATAGTGTTACCATCAAATATCATTTTAAAGAAAGTAAATACTGAAGAATCTGCATGTATGCATGTACGTTCCTCACATAGTGAAAAAACGATGGTACATAGAGCCATCCAGTTTTGATAAACGTAGTCTTGCATGCGTGCATGTGCACTTGGAAGCTCGAATTTGTTTTATTATTTATTTCAGATTTTGTTAAACTTTAATTAATTTTTGATTAATAAATTCAACGATTTTAGAGCGAACAGTGATAATATTGTACGGAATAAAATATTTTTATCTCCAGGACGCGAGACTGTATTTTATATTTATTAGTCCAAAGGGATTTGAATCCCGAAGGACTATTAGTTTCGTTTTGGCATTTTGCGTCGGACTCATAAATGTCGGTTCACTTTTCAAACTGTTGCCACAAAATGTTAGAGTCCTGCATTATATTTGAAGAAATTAAATAATGAAAAATCTGCATAAATGTATGTATATTTCTCGTATTGTGATAAAACAACGGTACATAGAGTCATCGAATTTTGAATAACGTAATCCTCCAACGAATATGAGCATGTGGAAGACCAAATTTGAAATTTGAAATTTGTTTTAGGATCGATTTCCTATTTTTTAAAATTTGACGAATTTTTGATTAACAAACTCAAGGATTTCAAAGCGAGCAATGGCAACGTTGTGCAGAAAAAACATTTTTATCTCCAGCGCGTGAGTCTCTGTATCGGAAATTCTAAAGATATGCTCGTTTTAAAACTATTTTGCGATATTGCTGTTGCACTGAATCTTATGGTTTAAGTGCGAGGAACATGATATTTAATAAAGAAAGGTAACACACAAAATATTAAAAAACGCGCCTTTGGACGTAACTTAAAATCTGAAACATTTCAGATTTTTTTCTTTCAATTTTAATTAATAGACTCCAGTTCTATGAAACGAAGGTTACTGAGTAATAAACTAAGCGATTTAAAAGCAACAAACGCAGTCCTAAGAACTTTTTTTTCTACTTTTTAACGTGATTGATTTAAATAAATATGTCTAATTAGAAGTACCGATGAGATGTCTAATTAGAAGTACGCAATATTTTTATGAAATTATACTAATTGACTCATTAACATCATTATATACTTTTCTTTTTTATGATTACTATTTTATGCCTCTGGCTGCGCCAGGGGCTACTTTTTAGAAATAATATAGCGAATATAAAAATATGTATGGCAACCACTAACACACTATCGGGAATTCCAAAGGTATGCTCTTTTTAAAAATTTTGTTATTTTACTGTTGTTTGTGGCGTAATTTCGAAGAAAACGATGCTATAATAAAAATAAAAAAATAAGGGGGCAGGTTTAGCAGGAGTAAGTGCAAGAGCAGAGCGGTAGGCTGCGAGCTCAGCAAGAACGTAGAAAACCTTAACAAACGCGATCGTTAAAATCTGAAACTTTTCAGATTGTATTTTATTTTTTAAGTTATGCTTAAAATCCTTTGTTCTAAGTCTTTTTTTTTTTTTTTTTCCCTCCTTTTTCTTCTTTAGGTATGCGGGATTATCCTTGGCTGTTTACATGTAGTTAGTGCAATTTATGACATTGCTGTTTTCTTATATGTGAGAAAACAAAATAAGTTATCTGCTTTAAATAGCTGATAACTTCTCTAAGAGAATTTCCTTTCTCACGTATAGCAAAGACTGCACGATAAAACGCCAAAAAAATTTTCTCCTTCAGTGAGGTAGGAGCGAATTATGTTTAAATAAAGATAATTTTTTTACTTACATGTGTTATTAATCAATTGTGTAGACTGAAATAAAAATTACTGGATATAAATATAAATTCTTTGCATGATTAATATGCAATATAGCTTCAAATTTTCAGGCTAAATGTGACCACTTAGAAAAGTTAGAATCAATCGGTTATCTCTACCGCCTTTTTTTTTCCTCAATGTGCCGTCTGGATAAATTTATCTCTATTAACTAAAAAATGAATAATCTGCATGTGAGTTCATTGCTCTGTAAAATGACAGTGACAAACTAGAGCCATCAAATTTTGAACTTCCGTAGTTCTGCACCCGAACTTGTGCACATCTAAGGCTTAATTTAGAATTTCAAATTCCTATTTTCTTGATGTTATATTTTGTACGAACTGAGTTTGTTATCCAACTCAGCAATTTAAAAGTGATGTGTTGCCACTGCCTGCAATAAAATACTTTTGTCTTCCACGCAACAGTGTGTTGTCATTTGGCGAAGCGTAAAATATTTAATTTTGTCCCTCTTAATATGTTTATTATTAGTAAACTAAGCAATTTAAGAACAATAAAAGTAATTCTTAACTTTTTGTTTAATTTTTATGCTCTGTGACTTAAATAAAAATGAATTTAATTAACGATAATCTAATTAATTTTTATCAAAAGTTTTGAAGAATTGGTTAAAACTTTTACAATTAGTAGAGTGAAAGGAACTAAAAGTTATAGGAACTTATTTAAAATAAATGATAATATAGATTTTTTTCATCATTTCAACGGAAATGATGAAATATAAGTAAGCAAAGCTGAGATCGGATTTGTGTTTAACAAATTACTGTCTAGATGGCAGCACTAAATTCGTTCCTGGGAAACGATGTACAATAACCGCCCTTGTTGAACACACTAGTTAATGAAATCAGCCTCATATTATGCTCAGTTTTCTTGAAACCAAAACAAATGCATTCAGTCGACAGAAAAGCTGCTAATTCATATTCGCAGCTAATAAAACTTATACTAAAAAAAATTTTAGTTCATAATACACAAAATCACCACTAGATGACAGCACTAGTCTTCTGCTTACCTGCGCGATTCAATGATTTTATATTAGGTTTAGCGATAGTTTATTCATTTCATAGTAATAATGAATACTGATTGGACGTTTAGAAAGGCAGAAACGTGTATTCGAACTTACTGGTAAGCACGTAAGCGGCAGTTTTTAGTAACAGTTATTTCAGGTACTTCATAATCAGACCTTTTTCCCAGATAAGAAACAGATGTTTTCATAAAAGCGTATTCTAATTTTGAATTCATTTAAGGTAACAAAAACTTTCACATTTTCGTTTTAAACTATATTTTAATTAAATACGTAAAAGAAATAATATGCATCTAAAAACAGTTAAAATTACACGGAAGATCTCAGATAAACCTCACTTTGCTGCTTCTTTTCTTTTATCTCCGATAAAAAAAATTTTAAAAAAAGTACCATTTCTTGCGTAACGCTAATGACACAGGCACTTACATAAAGACTTTAGCCAATAAAAACTTCAATTTGAGAACCGAACCTTTTATTAGCCAATGGGGATTAAATGTGAACCAAACCCAAATCATTCTGCACCAAGCTTTCATCTTAGACACGTCGCATTCCTGCTTTTACTTACTCCATTACCTTACGCTCATCAATTGCATTGCATAATCATAACGATGTAATAAGGTGTAAATATGATCTAAACTGAGGGCACAGATTGCACCCATTATGATGTGTAGTTCGTGTTATGAATGTGCTTCCCAAAGTTATTTTAGGTTCAGTCTGGGACGGTACAGTAAATCATCACAGGTAAGTTATTTTAGGTTAATTGAATATGGCAAAGCTCAAGAACGGCTACGCCTAAGGAAAGAGATGGCTTCATAGAGAATTTCGCAAAAGTCGCCTAACGAAGCTGGATCGTATTTGTATAACATATGGGGAAAAGTTGGATCGTATTGACATTACATATGGGAAAAGTTACAAAAAACCAAACAAGCAGACAACCCGTCTGCCTGGGATCCAACCCGGCTTGAACTTCCAGGATTCAGCGGTTTTAACCGCTGGTGGGGCCGTGTTTCTCGAGAGTAAAAAATAAATAAATAACAAATGAAATCGGCCAAAACTGCAGCTATGTCTTGAATTATTACATCTTTTACAAACCAGTAGAAATAAATAGGCGCAGTAAGCACGCGTTAAAAATTATAGCGGTACCATAAACATTTAAGAAAGGAGCAGCAGCATTCGTTAGCAAGTTTGCTGCAGCAAGGAGTGAGAGGGAATGCGACACGTCTAACATGAAAGTCGTTTCAGAATTATTTAGTTTTGGTTTAGCTTTATTTTGTATGGTTAATAATAACGTTCTAAAATTATTATTGGCTGAAACCTTGTGTAAGTATTTATAATGACATGGTTATGAGAGAATCGCATGACATGAATTCATTTCGTAAAACTGCAGTTTAGAGAGATTGTTGCAAACAATTATTATTTTTAGAACAGAAAGAGGAAATAACCAATCTAAAATACAGAGTTAAGGAATTATTGTAAATTAAATTAGAATTTTATTTTAATTAGTTTTATCTTACTTTCATACATACGGTTTCTTCACTATTTATTAAAGATATATTACGAGATAAAGATATTTAATAACATAACCCTCAACTCGACAAAACTTAATTTCATGTTCGTATTGTATCATATGTTTTTCATAATTTTCTGTTTAAATTACATTTCATGAGTTGAATTTTTTTTAAATATTGTTTGAGACCGTAGGAGTTTATAATGTGAAGCCTCTGCTAACAAACCCACCCCATTAACAGATAACTTCTCAATCTCCGGGCTTTCAAAGTAGGACATCAGTGTCCTTCAGTTTAGTAGACACTTCCTAATAGGATTCTTGGTATCCGCTAACAGAAGATTCGACTATAATTGATGTGTTTATTGATTTTTATTTATACGTAATGATTGCCTTTAATTTTTTAATCGCTGGGACCAGTGGATTGCAATCATGAATAGCGTTTAACTGTAAAATGCTTGTATGTTCATAGACAGCAATGCCGAATGTAATCTCCCTACTGTTGCAAACTACGTATTCATAGATGTCTCTTTAAATCAGCGGTCGTCAACCCTTAGAACTTCATGGGCCACTACATATATAATTTTATATTTGGCGGACCACTAATATGAATTTTAAGAAAAGGTAAATACATTTATACAAAAATAATCAGCAAACTACACATATTTCGTTCACATAGAAAAAAATTACATGAAAAGTAAAAAAATTTTACCTCCTTGTACAGGAAGCTTCACATTTCCATATCACCGAAAAGGAACTTCACAAAAAGCAAGAACAAACGGCAAAAGCAAAGCAATATCAATAAACTGATAGTGTTATGCCGCTAATTTTTAATTATTGCAAACCGAATAATCATCCCTTACTCAGCAATGGCGCCATCCATCAACAGTTAAACAAAACAAAAGTGGAAATTTCCAGTGATGCAATTATAAACAAAAACGCAGAGAGTTCTCAAAAATCCATCAAGTTTGCCCATTGATACGGAGAAAAACTGTGTTATTAACGACTACAATAGCATATGTTTGTAATTCAAAAAGAAAGAGAATTCCAGTTCGCGCTAATAGTGATAACAGCAGCATATCCATGAATGCCAACTCTCACTTTCAAATGTCGCTAGATACACCTGCAAGTCGCTAGATTCAGAAGGAATTTCGCTAAAAGTAGTAGCTAAAATTTTTAAAAAATGTATAATCCATATTCCATAACAGGTTTTGTAACTCGTCATTTTTTAAACTGAATCTTTATAGAAATATAAATAATGTCCCAAATTTTTGCGAACCAAACGTTATCACGTACCACTAGTGGTCCGTGCAACAATTAAAAAAATAACTTAATAAAACAATACACCATATTATAACAATATGCAAAAACGACAATGCAATGAAATAAATTTAAATGTTGCAGAAATTTATATCAATATTTATTTCTAATGTTTACTTCCGTGTACGAAGTAAAGGAAGTATGTTAATCGTGAAAATTTTTCGGGTATCATATTTCGGTGGAAATATCCATTTTGATCGCTCCGGATTCCATTTTGAACATTGTTTTGCGGGACATCTGTACCTACGGACAGAATAAAGGACTCTTTTTCTAAAATGGATTAAAAATGCATTCAAAAGAGATTTAACGATTAGTCGTAGAACGCTCCATCTTCTTACCCCGGGCTTTCTTTTTTTTTTTTTTTTTTTTTTTTTTTTTTTTTCTTTTTGGATGATTGGGTCGTAGTTATATATTTCCAGTTATAGAAGTGTTTTAAACGATTAAAATATTCATGTTTTGCAATGTCAAATTAAAAACAAAAATTAATGTTGTACAAATAAAGAAATCTAACATTTGATGCAGTCTCCCGTTTCCTATACCTATATTTGAGGAAGTTTTATACTCATTATCAAAAAATAAAATTAGAAGATAAGTTAACTCGGGTTATTTAATTTCCAAAATTTGGCAACTTTTTATGTCATTTTCATTTTGTTTTACAGAATGGGTTGACTGAGTTAAAATAATTACAGAAAAGTAGTTTAAATGAAGTACAGCAAAAAATGTGTATAATTTAATAGGCAGTACAAGGAAGTCATGTGGTGTCTGCAAAGGATTTTTTTTAAATGTATTTATAAATATTAAGAACACGATAGGAGGCTAAAAAAGAGAAAGGGGTTCATTTAGTTTTTTTTTTTTTTTTTTTTTTTTTCATCCTACTTTTCATCACGGTGAAGACAAAAATGCATTTTTATGTAAAATAACATAGTGAGGTGGAAGAAAATAAAGTCAATCATTAAAATGTCGCTGAAATATCACTAGAATTGTCCCACATTTTGTACACGGTGGCGCAATTTTAATTTCAATATCTGCGAAGCGCTTTTGCAAGTA